TGCATTGTACTTGAGTAAATGCAGTACAGTACATTATTTAATTTTTTTTTTTTCATGTGTGGTAACACTATTTACTCCGTTAACGAGCCGCCATCTGTCTTACGTTGCGTAAAATAGGGAGTAATAGACATTCCTTATGACATAGTACTAAATCTACGACATTAATAATTCCTGCCGGACACTTTTTGCAAATTTGACGCGAAGAGAATCAAAATGTAATTATCCAAATGAAAGACATACTCTTTCGGAATCTCATCAAATTTCTGAGAGACTTCAGCGTAATTCTCCAAGCTTTCCCTTTTCTTCCGTTGCAAGTGGGAGAACTCCTCGTGGATCCACTTAATTTTGAAGTAACTGTCCAATTCTTACAGGGATGAGAGATGATACAACAATTCGTTCCACGACGAACAAAAGCGCATTTCCTGAAGGTCATGGGAGAAATTCCCTATGATGCTCAGAAAATTATTGCTTCCAGACAGCTTTCTTACTGGGCCACTTGGGGGAGGACCGTTAGAGCAGCCCGTCCTCTTTCTCGTAATAAGATTTCTTGAATATAATGGCATATGAGTAGACTTTGAAAATTTTTTAAATTGTGGAACAGCGAAAGAGGAATTTTGGTTCAACGTGGAGACGCCATATGAAGAATCCGCTGAGTCAAAACAATTTACAACGGATTTCATTTTTCACAAAGGATCCGACAATATGAGTACTGTATTTTTTCTGGTACTAGGTTACTATAGTTCACGGGCAACTTTTTATAACACCTAATAAAGAGTTATTTAAATTTATAAAATATTACGCTTGTCGAGAAGTGATGGATAGTAAACTTCTTCGTTGATTTTGCAAGAATCGCAGGGATCTTGACTGAATCCGGATGACGAAACTTCTGGAATGATACGAGTATGAAGTATTCACCATTTAAGATTTGGGTGGAAGCAGGACCCAAATCAAAATTAGCAATAATTGATCATGAATGATTGATTTCGAAGGATGCTCATTTAAAATCATAGCTCTGCTCCTGTGATAATCTGTTTTTATTTATTTACTGTTCTTAGTTTTTGGGTATACAGTAATGCGTATAAAAAAATATATATATATATTGTATATATATATATATAAATATCTACAGTGTAGACTCTGTAAACTCGAGAGATCAGAAAAATATTCGACGTCGTGAGTATTTCGTGTTAGAGAGCCCCTGTATAACATGGGGAGAAAACCCTATGGTCGGAACCAAAAAAGGTTCGTCATACAGCGAAAATCGGTGTAGACCAGATCGTTACAGAGAGAGTCCACCTAAATATTTTAAAATACACCTATATGTGCGAGTGTAATTATATACGATTCAATTGCAACTTTTAATTGCACCAAAAATGGGGCGCACATCTTTCAAGATTTTTATCCCAAGTTTAGGCTGAAAACTAACGGATTTTTTTTTGTGTTAAAAAAAACTAACGGTAAGCGTCTTTATGTCGTGCTCAATTAAATACTGTACCTTGACTGGAGTTAATTGGAGCATGCCTCTGTAAAGTACATAGAAATGTTGGCATTCACTGTAAAAATTAAATTCAAGTGAAAAAAAGAAGGAAGTCCCTCTCTGCCAGAGGTAATTTTTTTAATCAGCTAAGTGGATGGTAAATTGGTGAGAGAAATGCCAAAGAACTTTTTTACACCAATTCTAGGGTTGGAAATATCTGTTTCTTGTGATTTGGCCTGAAATTTATTTGCTATTTTATATCAAAATGTCCCTATGCTGAGTCAGTGTCCTCATTTCAGGCCTTTTTTATGAATTTTTTATGAGAAAATAAGTGTCCCTGTGTCAAATTTTCCGCATGCCAAGGTGTCCTCATGTTGGGGTCTCACTGTATCATCATCCAGTATCAGCAGCAGGCTTTGATTGTTCAAATCCGCAACTCTGCAACGGACAAAAATAATTGAGCTGAATAAACTCAAATAACCTACCCTAAACTCATGCGGCCCACAGTAGACTAGCTTTACAAAATTAATTCTGAGTTTTACGTAGATCCCGCCGCCATGAATCGTGTAAGAAAAAATCAGGCAACTGCTATCATGTATCAGAATTCCCATCAGAGATGAACAGAAAACTTTATAGTCCGAGACGTCGAATTGTGAAGTGGAAAGCAAACTTTGGGACTATTTTTAATTTTAACGATGGCGTGCAAAACTCTAGAGTCAAAGTAAGTGCTGAGGAATGAGGTAATTTTTGCCTCAAGTTATTAGTGATATAATGAGCACGACATTGAATTGTTGTTCGACTTGTTCCGTCGTTTATTAACGGAACGGTATTTCAAATGATATCACGCTCTGTAATATAAAGCGAGGATAATTTTAATTTTTGTATCGGCAGCTTCAATCGATTGGAAAATGTAGCATAATTGCATGAGCGCATATTTTAGATATTTCTAAAAACAATTCCCAGTCATTTTTTTTCGTGCTGCGAATGAAAATCATTAACTGCAATGAACTCGTCCGTGCGCGGCGAGATTTATCTGATTTCAGTGATAAATATTAATGCTTTAAAAAGACAATATATTGTATTTAAAATACCGGTATTCGAACAAAGAACTCTACAATTCGAGAAACATACATTCTACATTCTGAGTTTTCTAGCATCAGCATTCAATAAAAATTGAGGTTACGTTTGCTGTTCTCGACGACGACTCAGTGCTTACAATATACACCTGAACATAAGCCGTAAAGAAACGTTGCTGATCGAAATAATGTCTTTCGGAAGAACCCGTTTTGATGAAAATGACACTCCTCAGATCGTGTAATAAATAAATACGAATCAAAAAATTTGAATAGGTTTCTACCAATTTCTGAGCAATAAAATGAGTTTAGTTTCCAATTCTGTGGATCGAACAATGCTTCAATTCTTGGCGTCTTGTCTGATGTCTACAACTGAGTTCTGCTGATGTCTCCAAAACACAAAACAGAACTTAGAATCATAAGTGCTACTCGTAATGCTCGACAATACCTAATAATACTAGCGATTCTTAAATCATCGCCAGCAGAAAATTTTCCAAAAACCGACGTGAATATTTTTCCAAGAGGAAATCAAATCCGGGATATTGTTTCTCCAACGTCTTTTCGAATAGGTAAAAATGCCAGGAAAATTTTCACACCGGGATTCGAGTTGGATCAATGCTGAGCAAGACGAAAAAACTCTCAGCGACCGTTTGAAAAATTGGCGGCAGTAGCTGACGAATCAACGCGAAAAGCTTGCGATAAAGGAAAAATCGAAGGACTTGACTAATTCGAAAATGTTCCGTCTATCACCTTTATTAGCATCACCGTGTTGAGGGTCACACTTCTTCCTTCATCCCCATACGAATCGAGAGCGACGCCTTGAAATCGGGACTGCATCCCATCATGAACCGATCCATCAAACGTGAGGCCAGTTGTTGAGATCGCAAACAGTATAATCTGACTCAGTGCTGGCTTGCCAAAATTTCTCCTCTTTTTTTTCACTTTCGTCAAACTCTGCCCGACAGCACTAAAGAAATAAAACAAAATGAAAAGACATGAACTTAGCGGGTTGCAGTGCGTCGATTTACTGCCTCGAGGAGCGCCATGATTTTTTGCGGCACGTTTCAGTGAGCTGGGTTTGAGGTGCAAAAATAAGCAATAACGGAGTGGGGAGAACCGAAAAAAAAAGAGAAGATAGATGCATTTTTGCAGAAAAGAGTGCTGAATGCATCACTCCCGACCTTGGTTGATCGTTACCGGGAAACACGGCCATGTCATCTCCGGCAAGTTTTTATGTTCCGCTGCTGTCCGGGAATGCAACGTTCCGGGGGATGGACGATTCATGCTTTCGGACCTCGTTAGCTGAAAGCAACGATAAATCTCAATACAATCGGCACACCTCAGAAGAGGTGCTGAGGTCTCCTGATGAAGCCTTCTGGTTTCACGGAAATGTGGAAGGCCAATCATCGCATGTCAGAACCAATTCGGAAATCGTGGAATGCTCGGAAATCCCAGCATGATATAGCTTCGACCGCATGCACTGAGGGGCTGAACCAAGCTGCAAAATCTGACTGCCAAAAGTGTGGAGCTACAAAAATGTACGACCGTCTTGGATCTAGCAAGGTACAATACATACACTGTATTTACGTATAGAATCCGCATACAGTATTTATTGCAATTAAGAAAAAGTTAACAATTAATTCACCCATTGTGATGGAATTTTATACTGTACAGTACCAGGAAACTTACGCACTCTTTAACTGCCTCACTCGTTTTCCAACCGCACATTGGCTGCCATTTTGCGGCATGCATTGATTTCCTGTCCCAAAATGGCGGCAATGCTACCAAAGTGGGGCTACAAAACATTGGTGAATGCAAAAGAGATTTTTGCAAGAAAACCCCAGCTTACAAGGATTGTTCCAATTGGACGAGACTTCTGATATTTTCAAAGTACGTGTAAAGTTTTTTTTTATGACCACCCATGCCATTCCACAGGGTGATAAGAATTTATCTGGCTAGCAACAATTTGAAAGTTTCCTGTTTTAACCATGAACCAAAACACAGAAAATATAATGGGTAAAACCACACATAATTCTAATTTTTTAGCTGCCCACAGAAGTTTCTTGCACCATTGAACATGAGTGGAGAAGTCAGCCTTCCGATGGAAAGTTTCAACTTATCAAGCAGTAAATTGAAAAACTTCTTTAAAAATCTCAAAAATTCCAAAATATTATATTATGGACCATGTCTTTTTTTTTTTTTACAATCAAACCTAATCTACAAATATCAAAGGTCGCGTCCTACTGGGACAACCCCCGTATGAGGTCTGGCCACCGACTAAACGATACCATCTTTCTCGGGAGTCCTCCGAGTATAGCTGTTAGAAAAAGTACTGTATACTCGTACCAGTGTATTTTACGCATATGTTCGTGGGTTCCTGATCGCTCATAGTTCAAAAACTGATCAAAACAAATCATCTAAGATTGAGAAAAATTAAACCTCTTCAAGGGTTTCTTACATGAAATTAAGATTTATTCCACTTTTTTCCCTTCATATCAAGGCTCACGCCGACCGGAGAAATAGAAAAGACAAAAAAAAAGAAACTTGGGAAAAACAGCGCAATTCAAATTGAAACTTCTCTCGCGGCGACGGCAACGGCAGGCGACCCATCCGCAAGTCCAAAAAAACCTATCGTCCAACTTCCTTCTTCAAATAGTCGGAAGCCGAATTGGACAGCTTTTGTAAAAAAAAACCGAATAAATCGAAAAGAATCAAAACAAAAACAATTACGCCGATTTGCGTCAAGCTTCAGCAACAAAAAAGACAAAAAAAAAAGCTCGCGCCATCCCGCACAAAAAATAACATCAAGTATGAACACAGTTTTCCACCTCCATATCCCCGATTCGCCTTCCCTTCATTCTCGGTTCTTTTTCCTCTTCCTTCTCACATACTTCAGAGCTAATGAAATATCACCCGTTCACACACTTACAAATTCAAAATACAAAAAACCGACCTAATCAAAAAACGCAAAAAATTCCGCTCATCATCAACGTATTAGTCGAGCGAGTTAAAAGATCGATTCTGAGGCAATAAAATTCCGAAGAAGTCCCACTACCGGAGGTACAAATAAATAAAAACCGGCCTAAATAAACCAAGGTTTACCTGAAAAATAGTTTAATCAAGTAACTTTCTCCTCACAAATGGACGCGGCAGAACGTCAGTGAGAAACAAACATCACGATGAGAAACGATCATACCTGTAAAAGTAATAGGTGTTTCACACATTCAGAATTCCGGAATTCCGCACGAAACGCCACACAATACTTCCGGAAGAAAAACAGAAAATTGGGTCATGAACGCTTCTCGAAGGAAACAACAAAAAAGGCAAGAAGAAACCTGTCACTTCCAGACGGGGCAGATATGGAAAGAGGAGCAGCTGGGCGCCGCCATTTCGCCGCGGCGTCGTCGTAGTTTCGATTCAGCTTTCTTTTTAAAAATTTCCGCGCCGGCCCGGCCGATACAAAACACGTCCTCTTCTCCCAACAACGCTGTACAACTTCGTGCGAGAGCAAGAAGTCTCGTAACAACTATACATTGAGCTCCGGGCTACGAGCCAGGATCGACCAAAAAAAAAAGCCTCAACAAACAACGCACACAATTTTTTTGATTCCACAAAACCAATCGAGGGAAACGGTCCGTTGAAAGTTAATTATCACTGTTTCAAAAAATAAAAACAACTTCTCTTCTATTCTACGAATGGATTTTCCACGAAGTCGCTGTACGTGTTTCTCGGATTAATCTGGCTTTCTCCAAAGCAGACTGATTATGTCCTCTGTAATTTGTCAATTTCGCGAAGTAACACACACTCACGCAGGTCGTGGTAAGAAATGACCGCACCACCGGCGAACCACTGCGAAATACATATTGCATCCGTTAGAAGGGGCAAATCAATTAATCCAAAAAAGCGCTCGAAATTCACAAGTCAGGAAAGTTGAGAACGAGACGATAAGCAAATAGTTCAATATTCCTCAAATATATGACGCTGAAATTTCAATTTCAGGAATCACATTCAATGCCAGCATGAAAAACTAAAAATTAAATGCACCATTTTTGACAACGGACACTCTCGTGAGAATACAAACTTTTTTAGCCTGACTTCATCGAGCTCAAATCTCCAGGGAAAGTTTCCAGTGACTTCGGGGAAATCCATTCGCGTAATTTCTTGCAATATTTCCGTTCCTAAATTCGCGGATATTTTTTTGTCGTCGTCGTCGTCGCCGCCTTCTTCTTCTTCTTGATGAATGATTGGGGATGGGGAGGTGATGAGTGACTAGAACATTCTGCGGGACGGGTCATGTTGCCGGTAATGGTTGAACTGTGAAGAGAATGGCGTCGGCGGCGGCGATCGTCATCATAGCGTGTCCACAACTCGAGACAAGGGATCCTGGCCGACGTCCATGTCACCGCCCTGTCCCATATCACCGGGCCCGCGCATCTGCGGCGGACAGCCGCCCATGTGCTGCCCAGCCACACCGCCAGGTCCGAGAATCACTTCGCCGGCGCCTTGCCCGCCGCCCATGCCAAGCATCCCCTCAGCGCCCCCTGCAGGCGGTGATCGCACCTATAAATTCGAAAACAGAAATGTATACTTCGTCGGATTACATTACAGAACAAATTTCATGCTGGTTCACGAGTTTCATGCGACGAGGTAGTTCAAACTAAATCTCGAGATTCCTTAAACTCTAAAATCCAACTCAATCGCCTGCTATGTTAGGTTGGTGCAGCCCGAAGGATCAACTAACTTGAAATAACACAATCCCACCCGATTTCACGTATCTTCGCCAGAACTCAGAACTTACAAGGCGGAAAAATTCCAACGAAAAAATGCTATTGTAAAGAAAATCAGAGCGGAGACATTGGTATCTCCACGAATACTGATGAGAAAAGGACATGGGGACAATCGCCCCCACTCGTTCGCACAGTACCGCACAACATTCGATAGAGTTGAATCCGGTCAGGTATTCGTCCTTTTTCCTCGGAGTTTAGCCAGAAGTTGATGGGCAGAGAACGTTAGTACAAATCAGTTGGATTTAAGGGGAGTTTCTCCATATTTTCTTCGCAAAAATTGGGAAGCACGTCATCAACAAAGGTGCATGTTGGACGAGTATCTTGTGAACAGAAATTCAGTTTTGGTTGGGAAATTTTCGGTGATTGAGCTATTCAAGCGACATATGCCCGATATTCCAGAATGCATTACAGAGAAGAACCGAATCTACAAGAAAAAACCTCTTCTTCCCCCTTTCTCAGTGCACACGCAAAATTAAGTTATCGAAAAATGCAAGAGTCAGAAAACGCACCTGCTGCATCATCATCTGCTGCTGAGTTGGCATCATGCCGGGTCCCAAGGTCTGTTTCATTCCTCCGACGAACCCACCCTGGGCCTGTCCGTGCGGCGAAAACTGGTCCGCGAATTGTCCCTGCGGTCCCATGCCCGGCCCCATGTGCTGCGGTCGCATCATGCCCTGGGGATTCGCCGCTCTGTACATCCCAAACTGCTGATTACCGGGCCTGTGTAACGCCATTCGTTGCATCGCCATCTGCTGGTTCGGCTGCTGCTGTTGCTGCTGTTGATGCGGGAACCATTGCTGGTTAGGCTGCTGTTGCTGTTGTTGTGGCGGTTGTTGTTGCTGCTGCTGCTGGGACATAAGCCCAGGCAGCTGGTTCGGGTTCCCAGCGTTCATCTGGCCCGGATGCATCATGCGCTGGCCTTGGGGCGGCATTTGCATCTGTTGCTGGCCCATCCCAGGTTGCATTTGCTGCTGTGGTTGTTGTTGTGGCGGCGGCTGTTGCTGCTGCTGTTGTTGCTGCTGTTGCTGTTGTTGGCCTTGTTTTCTCGCGTCCTCGCGATGCTTGATGAACAGAGACATGAGCTGCGGATTCGACTTCAGGATCTGAAGAACGTCTTGTTGCTGCTGTTGTGACGTGGGGTTCTTCAAAGTCTGCAGCAAATGCTGCAGCACCTGCACTTGATTCCGTCCTCCCTGGGCCATCGCAGCAGTGCCGCCGGCGTTGGGAGCCGGCCCAGGGCCGTGAGCACCACCCATCATCACGCCTTGGCCTTGTGGATTGTTCATCATAGGCTTTCGCATCATTCCCATTCCACTCGGCATCGGCTGGGACGGGCTGTAACGCTGCTGCATCTGCGGCGGCTGAGGTGGCGGTCCTGCTGCATTATTACCACCGCCACTCGCGCCACCACCGTCGCCAGACCACTGGTTCATGGCGGGAAGCACACGTTGACCGCCTGGACCCATCGCCCCGGGTGTCATTGGTGCGCCAGGTGTCGGCGACATCATGGGCTGGTTTCCGGCTACCATCGGCATGCGTGGACCCATCGGGGGGCTGCCCATCATGCCACCGGGCCCGGGTTTGCCACCGTAAGTCATCCTCGCTGTAGCTTGCAGCTTCGCTTCTTCTTGCACCTGTACAGACGAAATACAGGAGTTACATCATCACCGTCTATCGTAACTAAACAATCGCCTTCTTCTCATGTTTTCCTTTCGTTGCAACAAAATACATAAGGATCTACCAACGCGAGATAACCACATTTAGCGAGAGAGAATTTTGTTTCAATTCAACCGACGAGATTGTACGAGGGTTCCAACAAAAGTTCTCGGAATATAAATGAAAATGGCATATAATTGAGCTGAAAAAAAGTATTCTTTAGAGAAAACATATTCTTTGGCACAAAAAAATCAGCCTTGTTAGACGAGTTTTGTTGAATATTTTGCTAAATTCGCCCCGGCAGAGTTTTGCTCTCCACTAAAAAAATGAGGCGCCCTTCCCGTAGTTTTTTTGTTGTAGCCCAGCTTTTCCCTCAGAATTCTTCAAATCAACGTGGCATTAATTCCAAGGGTTGCCTCCAGGTCTTCCAAGGTAATTCCGCCATTTTCATCAGCAGCCGCCATGGCGGCTGTTGATGAAAATGCCGCCTTCACATCGTGGAATTAATGCCACGTTGATTTTAAGAATTCTGGGGGGAAAACTGGGCTACGACCAAAAAACCTGCAGGAAGGGCGCCTCATCTTTTGAGTGGAGAGCAGAACTCTTCCAGGGTGAGTTTTGCAAAGCATTCAAAAAAATTTGTCAAAACAGGGCTGATTTATTTTTTGTGCCGAAGATTACGTTTTCCCTCAAGTATTTTTTCAGCTCGATTATATGCTATTTTCATTTCTATTCCGAGAACTTTTGTTAGAACCCTCGTTTAGAATTGAACATCACGAAACAGAATAAAACTCTTCCTCTAAATGATGAATTCCGAATACGAGTAATGCACTGCACTGTATTCCGTAACCGGTTTTTGAAAATTCCTTGGAATATTACAAGAAGATAAATTTTCAATGAATGAGATTCCTCACTAAAAATCCAACAGATTTTTTGACAGGTATAAATTGTCGAATGCAGTTCCGACAACAGAATTGATTCACCTCCCAAAAATCTCTGGTATAATCCTCGACTTGAAGCTACACCTGATTAAAACATACTGTATGCACTTGAAGGTTCAACGCTCATTATCATGCTTTTTTTTTCAAGTTAATACAACCTGAGCCTTTTAAATTTTAAATAGGCGTGAATAAACTAAAGTTAGGCTTGTTTTCGCGTTAGATCACAGACTGAGGCAACAAACACATGGAATTTCAATAGCTAGGTATTACGCAGAAAGAACCGTTTCGATTCAGATAATTGAATTAAATAATGAACGGAGGCAATTTTGACGTCCAAGTTTAGAATGAGACAGTCGCCAATAAAATGGAGTCAAGGGTCATCATGAGAGGGAAACCAACCTGTCTAACGACCTGTTGTAGTTGCGACGGGTTACCCAGCACCGGCTTCATGCCCATTCCAGGCGCCGCATGAGGCATTTGGCTCTGCTGACCCATTTGACTCATAGGCACGGTCTGGTTTGGCACAACGCTCATCGGTTTCCCGTGCACTCCTGTCATTTGCATGCCAGGTCTGACCTGTTCGGCATCCAAGCTCATGTTCGGCGCCGGGTGGTTTTGCTGCGACATGACAGGGTTCGCAGCTGGTGGAGCAATTGGTACTGGCGGCGCAGCGGCGGCGGCGGCGGCAGCAGCAGCCGCCGAGGCGGCCGAGATAGCCGCAGATGCACCAGCCATAGCGGCCATGCGCCGACGCAGTAGTTGAGCTTGCTGCACGCGTTGCTGCAGTTGCTGCTGCTTCATCTTGTGCTTGATCGACGAGCAGAACGGTACAGAGCACTTTTGTTCCTGCAAATGCCCGATGAAATATGCATCAGTGAATGCACACACAGATTCGTCAGAAAGGTCCGGATTTAATTGCATTCCTAATGTATTGAATCCCTAACAACCAGCGAACGACGACATTTATTGGAAACATAACACATTAATAGATCACGCAACACGAAGAGTGAGGAACACGATCAACTGAAGCTTGGGAACTTAAATCAATCGCTGAAAAGTGTACATTTTGCGAACTATATTGTTCAGGGATTCAGCTCAACTGTAAAAATCAAAGGATTGAGCAAGGGAATTAGGCACCAAGTGCTGCTACTAAATTTCAACGCAAAAAAAACATGGTCAAAACAGCAATGAAGCAATTCTCGCGAAGACTGTTATTCGAAATTGGTTCACGTCATTCCTCGGAAACGTTGACTACATTTTAATCTTCAGACATTCATCGGTTACCATCCAGCAAACACTTTTGAAACGTCATTGTAGAACGAAAGCCTGGACAGTCGCTTTCATACATACGGATCAACAAAAATGAACAAGTATTAAAATTAATTTCTGTCATTCCGTCAAGAAAAGTTCGGAAGTACCCGTCGATAACAAGCGCACACACTAATTCTTCCGCTCTTCAATAAATGAGTCATCATAGCCACTAGCCATAGAATTCTTGAACAAAAAAGCGTAAAACATGAATAACTCACGTTGCAGCTCTTGGCATGGTAACAGCACAGAGCAATTGTTTGTTTGCAAATGGAACAGGCATTCTGGCTCTTCTTCTTGCAACCTTTCGTGTGGTTCAGGATTCTTCGCATCTTCTGACAACTCGGCAGTCTGCAATTGGCGTCTCTGCACGACGCTGCGTGGAGCAGAGATCGCACACATCGGTCGATGGATCTCTTTCTGTCGTCCGCTGTATTGTGAAAAACAAACACGACGTTCGATTAAACATTGCACGAAAAGCTTGATATTCGTAAACGAGATCACATATGACAACGCTATCGCAATAACACAGCAACACACGCTTGAAAAAAAAATCTGAAGAAAGAATTTGAGAAAAGACTCCGAAATGTTTAGGCAGCCAAAAAAACATTTGCGCCAAGACGAGGAGGAATTAAGGCGCGTAGAAACAACTAAAAATAAATAAATATCCAAATAAAACCACTTTAGGAAGCTGCTGCGAGTAGATGCAATTCCGGCATTTCAATTCGACCATTGGTTTACGGAGAACCGAGGAATAAAGGCAAATTTCACGAAACCGCAACGCTTGGAGTAAGACTTCTACGGAATAAACGAAGCTCATTTAGCTCCAAAAATAAATATTTCCACGCTGTAAGACAAAAATTACTATTAATCACACTGCGAATTCAAGGAGCTAAGAGAAAATCATCAATTGAAGGATTCGAATTCTGAAGTATTTTCCCACGTCGAAAATCTTGGGCAACATTTCTGCTCATCAAGATTTACGGCGAAAATTCCGAGAAGGTTTCGGAAAAATTGACCAAAGCTGGAAATTTCCAAAAATTTGGTCCTCACTGTTTCACAGAAATTCCGCCAGGAATCTGATCAACCCTTTGTGTATTAATACTTCAGCCAAGCTCAAGCGCACAACGGAGGAGCCGAGAAGCGTATTGAACTTGAATTGACAATCAGTATAAAATAGATTTTCACATCCCCAATGAAATTTATGCGCAAAAACAATCTCTCGAACGGACAACTACAGTACATGCATGTGTCTCTTCCAAATAACTTTCCTCCAACCTACGAAGAGCCGTCTCATCGCTCATAAAGGTAAGAAGGGAGGAGCAGTTTGCCTCGGAACAGAAGATGATTCGGCATGGTTTTAAATGGAAAAGTAAAAAAGATTCGTAAGAAAATCTCACCTGGATTTCCAGCTTTAGAATCACCAGAACCATCATCGCCACCGTCGAGATCGAAACTCAGCCGTTCCATCCGATGCGGATGGTTCTCCTTCTCATAACACGTCGTGCACAGGTCGAAGTCCTGAAAACGCCACACAACAGAAAACGGGAAAAGGTCAATTATCTCTTCCTACAAACGACTAAGTTCCCATTCAGCAACGCAAAAAGAACGAACGCCCACAAAAAATTGAGAATTTCGAAGGCAACAGAATTTAAATGCCAACCGAAACCAAGCGTGAATGTGTCCCGCCCGTGAACAAAAGAGCAAATATGGAAAAGACAAGCACTCGTCTGTCACGGAACGGAAAATAAAGCAGGAGAAATCTATTCTCCTTCCCATTTCGCAATTAAAAATGCAGAAACTCACCAACTTAAAGGGAATTTTGGAGTGACATGAAATACAAATAGAAAAAAAATACTCATCAAAATCACTAATTGAATCATGGCAAACCAAATGTAATGTGCTAACTATTCATCGCGCTGACGACCTTACATACTCAGGGTTAGAAGTTCTCGGTAAATCCCATGAAAATTCAAGACTTTCTTTTTCGAGAAATTGTTGCACCCAAAATTCACCTCCAGCGGAAATTTCTTTCACATATCTCTTTTACCATCACCGAGCTGCTTCACCAGATTTTGTCACATAAATTATCACGAGACTATTTAATACAGTACATCACTTTCTTACACATCCACAGTCACACGAAAAAGGAAACCCAGAACTTTAATCTAACCCCTCGTATTAAACGCTGTCCAACAATTCTTTTCCCGCTCATTACCTTCGTAACTCATGCATTTCAACTACAAAGATGATCTAAGCGCAAGATCTTTTTTGCCTTGTCTTTGGAAAAAAAATAGTTTTTTCTCAACTTGTTAGCGCTCCATTTCAGCACGGAATTCGGACATTTTATCAAGAGCATACGCAAAACATTCCTCGAAATATGCTGTACCTATGAACAAAACTATTCCAAAAGAATGAATGTCTGAAATGGTACGCACATCACAGGTGGTACAGTGGTACCGGGTTTCAACTTGGGCCCGACAGGAGTTGCACGTGTACTCGAATTTCTCACTGCCTTGGTTGTGCAGCTCGTAGAGCATGCAGGTAGACGAATATTTTGCTCGCCTCAGCGATGAAAATTCCATATGCCGATCTCGAGCCATTGTAAGAAAAGCATCTCGACCGTCCATCAACTCGCAATGGATCGGCGGGTCCGGATCATGGATCGGCTAAAAATGAGAATAAACATTTTTTTTATTGCGCGCCCAAGCTACTCAGACAAACTCGTTTTAGGCGTCAAACCCTCAGAAGCTGAATCAAGAGTATGGAATATCAACGGGCCCTTTCTTCGCCTTCTTTTCACCTCAACCTCAGACATCTCCGACTCTATGATTTCTTTTTCTACTGGAATAGAAAATAATTCGCAAAAATTTCGAACCTTTAATTTCAGGATACATTTGCTCAGTTCGTGTAACTCAACTTCGTTTTTCTTTCTTCTTGTTTTTCTGACAGTCAAGGTTAGTTTAGGCCCGAGTTCATTAACCTTTTCGACCCACGAGGCCATTTCTAAAATAAATTCCCATGCTGAAGGTTTTTCATTCATATCCTATGTATCACAAGTTAAAGGAGTTCGAAGTAACACTGTTCTCCTCGCTGATTGTGGACATGGTCCAGCACTTCCTGCCTGATTTTGCATAGCATACATCAGGGCTAAGCGGAACTGAGAACCTCTTGGTAAGGTTATTTTCATTCCCCTCAGCAACTCAGGCTACATCTGGCAAATGTTTCGAGTAAGTCTGGCATTACCGCAAAATAATACCTTCGTTATCTTTCTTGCACCTTTCAATTGTTTCAACAATAAAATTGAGATCTCACCCCCAGAGAAGCGGCGGACTGTGCGGAATGCAAACGGATCACGAAGAAAACCTCCTTGTGCTTGTCCATTGTGGCGAAGATTTTGGCATTAAGGTCAGAAGATGTTCCCTTCTGGCTGCTACCAGCTTTCTTGGTGTTCTTCCTTTGGTTATTCTTTGCCTTCGTGGACTTCTTCGCCTTCTTTTGACCACATTTCTTCTTGCCAGAGGCGGACGGATCGTCAGAATCAACTTCCGCCTCGGGTCCGCAGTTGGCAGCCAATGCGGCGGCGGCTTCAGCAGCGGCCTGTGCCTCGGCTTCTTTCCTTTTGGCCTCCTCTTCTTCCTGGTCCAATTCCCGGATGCTCTCTTCGAGAACATTGGGCCAAAAGTCGCCTTCGAAATAGGGAAGCTCTGCTGCACTACGCAAGTCGTCCTCCATGGCCTGCTTGAGGATGTCTTTATAATCAAGCACGATGCGCTCTATTATACCCTTGTCGAGCATCTTCTTGTACCACTCCTGAAGCCGCTTTGGCTTCGGAATTTTTTGTTCTTGCGGATGGCAGTGGAAAATGTAATCATCTCCTTCGCTCGGTGGACACGCCCAAATATGCGCCATCGTATACCTTCAAGTGTGAATCCAACAATAAATTAGTGACGCAGACAGCAATTTGAGATGCTCACGAATTACACCAACACGTATCACACTAGCAAATGCTAAAGCTGAAGCGACGGTAACTTGAAAAAAATTAATGCACGAGCTTAGGAAAAATGAGTTTCAAAGATTCGTACGACAGGCCATAGATTTTTGCAATAAAGCAGCACCGAAAAGTACTTTCAATTTCTGAAGAACAGGTTTAAGATTACCCCGAGCGTAACTGGGGTTCATTAATCGTACTTGCTTTAGAATTGGTTCAAATCCTGCTAGAAAACTTCCGGCGCAGCGTTCAAGAAATATGTCAAGTTGTACACTTTTTTCGTTTACTTCATCAGAATACCACAGAACTGAACCCGCATTCCATAACCAACATATCGCAAGTAGACTGGTTTTGTTGGTTGAAAACCATGAACGTACACATTTTTCCTGAAGCAAGGGTGATTCACTATTTCTTCGAATATAGAACAAGAAACATACCCCAGTTGGCGGACGTATTCCAAATACCCAAGCAAGATCTCGTGGTAAACCGCTGTGCGGAATTGCTTGGGGCGGAAGAAGTGCACAGAATCCAAGTACGCCACGTAGACTCGTCTAGTATTCGGCATCGGAGCGTCGGATCCGTACTCCTGCACGTGCATTCCGAAGAAGCAAACGTCAACACCGTCGATCTCCTCGAAGGCGAACAGTGCTTTTGCTCTATACGGAAACGACTCCGGCATCTCGTTGTTGTCGACGAATCTAGCCTTCATGCCCTGCTTGACTTCCACGTTCTTCTCGGAACTGGCCACGACGCGAATGGTAACCTCACCGGCACCCGCCTCTTTCTTCTTTAAATAATTGTTCACACGGGTTTCGATATACGTGCCCAGCTTAGTTGAGGCAAGTTTTTTGGAAGTGTACTTGTGTTCCCGTCGCTTTTGTCCTTTCGCCTGCGGTCGAAAGAAAAATCATTTTTACAAGAGAAAAAGTCATCCTGCTTCGCGGCGAGGATTCAAGTTTCCGCGATATCAAATTCTCAATCAATCATGAAAAAAAAATGTGAAGGTAGCCTGACATGGATGAACAACCTGTTCCGAAAAATAAAGCCTGACGATCAGGCCACGAAGTGTACTGTACTGTACTCATATAACTGAAACCTGGTTGAAATTCAATTTCTAACGGGTTCAAAGGGCATAAAAACTTGAATTTTGGCCCTTGAACGCCGAATTTCAAAATGTTCCAAGGCTCGAACTTCTCTAGAAATGGACAGGATTATCGATCAGCAAAATTATCTTGAAATTTTACAAATTTAAGTCTTATTTTGGTTCCGCGATATTCCACAATTACAGCTTTCGAAAACTATCAGAGTCAACACAGATTTCGGAGCATTATTAAATTAAAAATTACAGACCGGAGAAAGATTGATTATCCGGTCACATCGAAGATATCGTGAACAACGAAATTTACCTTGAGACAGTTTTCGCAGATGAATCCTTGAGGATAGATGGGATCCAGATGAACGCAGCAAATTTGATGTAGCTTCCTTTCACAATCCTTGCACTGAACAAATGGCTCAAGCTCCAACGCGTCGTTCTTCATTTCGACGAACTGATCCTTACGGATGGTCTGCGTAGGTTGGCTCGGATCTTCCCCTATTGACACAGCGTCCCCCTGGATTTCGTTGAAGCACTTCTGACAGTAGGTGTAACGGTTTTGGTAGGACCAATACTTGGCGTCGCGGGGAATCGTGCACATGGTTTTTCCGTAACAACAGAGCACTTGCGGACTGAACACGTACTTTCGTCCACAACAATATCCGAGGCTTTGCATCACCGGGTCGATCTCTTTCTCGAAGATCTCCGCCAACTAAAAATTCATGAACAGCGCTAAAACATTTGCCACCAGCGGTCGTTCGGAATATAGGAAGTCGATTAAAAAGTAAAACATGACACCGAACAGAATTCGTTCAAAAGCGTTCCAGTGCTTAAAAGCAATTTGAAAGAGCCACTTAAAAGTAATAAAATAAGTTTTTACTCACATTAAAATACGCACAGAATCAACTTCAGCTAAGGTTTCTCAAAATATTTCAATGGATTTTCAAATTTAAAATTCAATCAAAACAAGGCAAAAACTTCAGCTGTCATTCGGGTACCCAAAATCTCTTCCTTTATTGAACAATAGGCTCGGCTGGAATACTGTATTGTTCAGATATACAGTAAGTAGATGACCGGCAGTGCAAAACTAGCCAAATTTGTCATCGTACAAGTAGTCTTCGATCATAAATGCAATGAGCTGGATTATCCGTGGGACAATAACAAATCTACGTTCATTATTCTGAGTACAGTACTGCATACTAAATCTTTTAGTTTCTGAACACCAAGAAGTCCACCATGTCTGTGACTGATCGGCCCAACGCCAAAAATGAAGTGTGGACTCAGATTTCTCAAATTATGATGCGCTTCTGACATACTTGATAAAATTATTTATAAAAAAAAGAGTAGATTAAAACATTCCACAAACCTTGGAGCAAAACTTGTAAACTTTGGAAGTTTTGCGGTTATACAGCCAGGCGTTGTCAAACATGAGCCATACGTCATCGACGTACTCCCATGGATTGGTGTAGACGCCGTTGTTTAGCCTGGTCCTGATGGTAGACAGGTCCATCGGTGTTTTAATGATATCGAAATAATCTGGTATGCCCAATGCGTGCGGGTCTACCGGCTGCCTGAACGGCATACTTTCCGGCTCCTGCACATACAGTTTCTCCAAAGGTGGCATCAAAGCTCTCCGCAGTTCCTCCGCTGTGAAGACTGTAGGGAGTAAATGATCGGAGACATCGTATTAATTGAGACATACACTCGAAGGTGCAATTATTGGGAAGTGCATTCAAGTAATTTCAGCTACGAATAAATAGGGTGGTGCACAAGTTTACTCTTATATTCGACGAGTAAGAATTTTTTGTCAATATATCGGTCCATATTTTGGGAGAATCAAAATTAGCTTAAAATGTTTTGTAATGTACTGAAAAGAATTTTACGTAAGCAGATTGCTACCACGCCGATTGGACTTAATTGTTCAACAAAAATTTCACCTGAAAACAATTCATTTACGCATGAATTCGTGTAAATTTACATTAAATCGCCGATGACATACTATGAAAATGCGTTTTTGCGTTACATGAGACAGGAAACTTCATTTTACGGTTTGAAATACACACTGATTACTCCCAAGTTTGGACAAACTTCACAAATATGTTGCGAAAAATATAATTAATGTTCATTTTTGCAATAATACTGACGTATTTTTGTTTTTCCCTTGGCGTCGGTACCCTCGGCACCTTCTTCCTTTTTCACGACTGGCTTGCTGTCCTCCACAAACCCAGCAGACACGGAAGACGCTGTCGATCCACTCGTCATTGGACCGACTTTACTGGGGAAACTCTTAATGCCATGCTTTCCTCCGCTAACGCTGTCTGGTTCTGAATCATTTGTCTTGCAGTCCATGGAGTCATCAGCATCCATTTCCCGCTTGACACACGCACCGGTTCCTTCTTCTTTTTTCACATCGGATTCCTCTTCCTTCTGCTCGTCCTTGATTTGTTTCCCGCCTTCTTCTTCACGTTCTTCCTTTATTTCCACATCGTGCTTCTTCTCGGGTTCCTCTTCGAGCTCTGACTGAGGATCGACGGGTTCTAACTTGATCTCGTGATCCATGAGCAAATCGCCATTTGGTTCACTAGGACCATTCGTCTGTAGTTCTTCCTTTACCTCAACCCGACCGAAACCAGAGTTGCAGTTGGACAGGGGCTGTGTGAAGGAAGGCGACTGCAGGAACGAAGGTTTATTCGGATACGCGGGAGGAGGCGTCTCCTCTTGCTTTTGCATGTGCATTTGCATCTGCTGCACATGGTTCATCTGCATCATTCCCTGCATTCCGGATACAGACGTGGGCACCTGCACATTTGGATTTATCATCTGGTTTTGTTGTTGGTGGTGCTGCTGGTGCTGCTGCTGTTGTTGTTGTTGTTGTTGCTGCTGCTGCTGCTGCTGCTGCTGCTGCTGCTGTTGTTGTTGTTGTTGTTGTTGTTGTTGGTGTTGCAGCTGCTGCTGTTGTTGTTGTTGCTGTTGTTGTTGTTGTTGTTGTTGTTGCAGCTGTTGTTGATGCTGCTGCTGTTGCTGCTGCTGCTGCTGTTGCTGCTGCTGCTGTTGTTGTTGCTGCTGCTGCTGCTGTTGTTGTTGTTGTTGTTGCTGTTGTTGTTGTTGTTGTTGCTGTTGATGCTGTTGTTGAGGAGACGGCGTTGGAACAGGCATGCGATTCGGCATCCCAGCAGCATTCCATTGGTTTAGAGGGGACATGTGGTTCGGTTGGGCATGCATTGGCTTTTGCAATCCGCCCGGATGTCCAATCATACCACTCATACCTGGAAAAAAGATATTGAGATGAGTCCTCAAAAATAATGCATTGGCTCTACTTCTAGCACAATACATCAGATTAAAGTTACAAGGAAAAACTGAACTACGAGTGAAACCTCTGCTTCGTAAAGAATTTCATTAAAATTAGCCTACGAATGGGCTGATGCCAAATTCATATTTTCTCCAGAGAATGACAATCCAAGTTTTCCGAAGTCAATGATAAATTACGAAGAAGAAATCCTCAACAAAAACGCGCCATTCTCGGGATGATAAAAAGCTGCCCGGCGAAAGACGCCACAAGTTGACATTATACAACAGTATTTATTGCACGTGTAAGCTAATGAAAAAATGTCATTAGCTTCAATACTGTAGAATCTTTACTTTCAGGCCTGCTATTAACGCAGCTCCATACAACGAAATTCACGACACAACTACTATTTTTTTGCATAAATGTTGGGCAAGTCCAACCGAATCAACATCCTGCGTATCGGATCACATTTATAATGCGAAGCTGAAGTATTGGTCAGAAACTATCAATCTAAGACGGCAGTACTGCTTTTCCACTTGAAGTACAGCGGAAAGCAAAAGTTAGATGGCGGGCACCTCGGAAGTTGTGTTCAATTCTCACATTATGCATACAGTACCTGGCTCTTCGTTAATAAGAAATAGAGCAACACTGTACTTCGTGGCATCACAGAGAAGTGTTATTAACTGATGCAAACTTCCGAGAAAACCACGTCTATGGATACTAACCAGGACTCTGGTTTCGCACAACCCCAGCTGGTCCTTGAACTTGCATCATGGAGCCCGGACTGGGTTGTTGCAACATGGCGCCACTCGGCGGACGCATCGTCGGCGGCGGCGACATTATCTGCGGCGCCGAGCTGACGGCCACTGACGGTGAACCAGCCATTCCACCCATGCTCATGGGTGACGATCCGACAACGCCTTGCATCGGTGACGGACCGGGCACCGGCACCTGACCGCCAGCACCTGGTGGCATCCCAGCACTTGACGGGCCAGCTCCAGTCCACCCACTCGCCTCTCGACGCTTTTGCTTCTTCTCCTCTGTAAATGAAACAAATTATTTTCAATTTTATCCACTTTTGTGGCTGATCTGACCAAATTAAGTCGGGGAACTTTTTGAAGAATCGAATTAAAATCAATCAAGCAGATGTCTGGACTTGAACCACATATTAATCAAGTATGAGACGCTCTTTAATTTGGATAAAAAATATCAAGGTGCGACATATACAAGAATTATTGCCTTTTACGGTGTCCCGGATTTTTCGTTGAAGCGCACACTTGCTCATGACTAGCACGATATTTTCACTGATCAAGTTCAAAATTCAAGAAACAAATTATGACCATTTTCATGGTCATCATGGTTGTGGATTTCGGATTGAAGAACACTCGTGTAAACGACGTCGGGCATTGATAAACTGTCACACAACACCAGATTTGAAGCACCTTTTGAGAATTTGTAACTACGCGCAATCTTTTGAGAGGATAAAATCATGAAATGACTTCCGATCTACTCACCGAGATCCTTCTGCATTTTGTAAATCTTCTCCGCCAGCAAATGGTAGTACTCCGACTGTAAAATGAAGATCATATGAATTGAATTTACATCCATTGCAATATAACGAGAAAAAAGCGTTTAGGATTCAACGACGAATAACAAAAAAAAGCATTGTTCACGTACCCGATTTTGCGCTGTGTCGTACATATCTCTCTCGATCTTCTTGGCAAACTGAACCAAGTTGGCCATCCGCTTATCATACATCGGAACAGGATCTTGATTCGGAAAAAATGCTTGCACCCTGCAACCGAACGAGAGCATTGATTCAGATGCGGTACTAATGTACATGGTTTTCGACAAAATTCCGCTCTCCCGAAAAACAGGCCAATAATTAACTTTGAAAACTAAACCAAACTTCACCAGTCAGTCCCGCATAGAAAATACGAAACATTACTGCACATGTGACACCAGTAAAAACTAGAAAGGTCGCTGCATATCCTTTTTACGTGCAATAAAGCTCTTGAATATAAGTCGTAACTCTTGCATCAAAGAGCAGCGTTAAGCAAAGATGGCAAGCCTTTTGGAAGTTGTACAGGTGGGTTCTTTCTATAATGATTTTTCTCCGGATAAAAAATTATATTCGAAGTCCAATAGGGTTCTCTTTCCATGCTATAGGGGTTCTCTATAACGAAATTCTCTCTACAATCATTTTTTATGGTCTCTTGAATTTTGTAGAGAGGGTGCACCTGTGATTAATTCTCATATTTATCGTTCATGAGAGACAAAGCCACGGTGTGTTTGGGGGCGTTACAGAAACGTGTACCTGACTGACACGAACTTCCAACAAAACCACCGCAATGGATATTTACCGGGACTCTGGTTTCGCACAACCCCATCTGGGCACATCATTGAACCCGGATTTGAATTTTTTTTTAAACACTCCGAGCGTTATGAATAAAACTAAATTGCAAAATACACTTACAACTTCCGGACAAGGTGATTCCGGAGATCTGTCGTGACGCTTTGCTGCCATTCCTTCGTACTTGGAACCGGCGCAACCGCAACCTGGGGCGCGTTGTTCATCGGGGACGGTTGTTGTTGCGGTTGTTGGGGTTGCTGTTGCTGCTGCGGCGGTTGCTGCTGTTGAGGCTGAGGTCCTTGCTGCTGATTCTGCTGCGGCTGCATCATTCCCATATTTCCCATCTGCGGACCGCTTAGCATTTGATTCTGCATCGGATTTACGGGCTGAGCCTGTCCTTGCATAACCTGGAGCAAAGAAATTGATTGAAACTTCCGTTGAAAAAAAGACGTAGGAGGAAGTTACGACAGCGATGCACAAGTATCCGAAAAAAGGATTCTCGAGATAACCGAAGATTTGTTGGAAATTCACGAACGAAGGAGTGGTAGAGATTTATGCGAAAAATATCATAACAGAGATTTCTTGATTCTTACAAGAGTTACAACTCTCGAAGTCCTTTCTGAAAATTTTGTTTTCATCAGTTCTGACTCGCAGCTCCTTAGACGATTTCTTTGCTCGTTGAAAATTTGCGTAAGAACGTACTGATATAATTATCGCTCTGTCCATTTCGGTTCACCTTCTTTAGCCAACCTCATATCCACTCAGGGGGAATCTTAACCGAAGTTCGTCTTATGATTCGTATGTCTCTTCGTCTTCGATTTTTCAAAACAGTAAACAGTTCTGTCATAACTGTGCTCGAGAAGATCCTGAAAACTCAAGTCGAATTACATTACATTCACCGGCAGAGAAACTCGGCAAGAAAAGATCACTTTAAAAAAAACGTTAATTCTCCACTTCCCAGGAAGTAAGCGACCTAAGTCAGCATTCGAAATAATTCGAAAAATTCAAATGCGATCGAAGATGAAAAATTTCATGTAATGTCTGCGCGGGTGAAGCATTTATAATCATGCAATCGCTGTAGATTCAGCCACAAAGACAGTCGAAAGAGAAATTAATTTCATCATTACATACCCTATTCTGAACCAGCACGCCCTGGGGAGAGGGACATGCAGTGGGACCAGCTGGCATTGGCGGCCCGTTCGAAATATCCGGCTGCAATCCTCCGGGAACAGGCATCCTGTAACCCATCCCAACCTGCGGCGGCATCTGGTTTTGGGCAATGCCACCAGCCGCATTCAAACCTAGCGTGTCGAATGTGCGCCTCATGTCGTTCTGCAGGACTGGCTGCTGCGAAAGCTGTTGCTGAGGCTGCTGTTGTTGCTGTGGCGCTTGCTGAGAAGGCTGCACCTGGCCTAGGTTGGGACTCATTGTTTGCGACTGATTCGGAAGGGGTGGCTGCGGCTGAGAATTCTGCATCGTCTGCGGCTGTTGAGGCTGTCCTGGTTGAGGCTGCTGTGGTTGCGGACCAGGTTGTACGGCGCCTGGGCCTCCTGGTCCCGGACCACCTGGACCAACGCCCGGACCAGCTGAAAAAGTGTTTTCACTTAATGTATTCAATTTCATAAACTGCGGAAATACTACATCAAATTAACAACATATTCATCAACACCAGCTGTACAAACTCAATTTCTCCATTTAAGACGAGATTTAATTCGATTATTCAGCAGACACGGTTGAATGAGCATCAATCGGAGACGAAACTAACTAATATTCCAATTCTCTTCAGCCGAGCGAAATTTTCCAGGCAATCTCATGTAAAGAAACTTTGCAACATTGATTCTCACTGAAAACACGCTCGCATTAGTCGTACACCTTCAACACACGAAACACTTTCTTCTAATAATCCACGTCGCGATTCGACGGAATCCGTGCGCACACATCGCATCGAAGGTTTCATCATCAACAGTATAATTTAGCCTTCGACAAAACATTCAGAAATGTAACACGTCACGTTAGAATTTCCATCACATATCTTTTCAGAAGTAAGCGAGAACACTCACGTTACTTTCAATGAGTTTCAAGTGTGACAAAAATTCGACTCAGAATCATTACCTACTTTACAGCAGCATGTGTCTACCCATTTCCACTAAATAAGCGAACGACACACACCAAAATACGAATCTCATTAATTTTCCTTAGGAGGATCACGCCATTGTTTGATATCATGACTGTATCATTGTAGCTGGTTTGTTCATTGTAATATTACATTACGAAATTTTCCTCTCGTCAGGCACCATTTGCGAAAATCGAACACACTTCAAATCTATTTACAGCCACGTTCTCTTTGTCGTCAAT